AGCTGAGAGACTTTCCCAAGTTAGGAAATAGCAGAGGCCAGATTCATGCCCAGCTCTTCCCACTCTAGGACCTGTGTCCTGTGATCTCTGTTACACCACAGAGGATACCAACTAATATGCCATGGACCTTGTCCAGTCCTCAGGTGTCTTTTGTTTGGGTTGTACATTTTTTTTCAGCTGAATTAGTTGCCAACATTTAAAAATTAGGAGAAATACAGATTTCCAGATTTTTTTTTTTTTTTTTTTTTGAGGAAGGCCAGCCCTGAGCTAACATCCACGCCAATCCTCCTCTTTTTGCTGAGGAAGCCTGGCGCTGGGCTAACATCTGTGCCCATCTTCCTCCACTTTATATGGGACGTCGCCACAGCAGGGCCGGACAAGCAGGGCGTCGGTGCACGCTTGGGATCCAAACCCGGGCCACCAGCAGCGGAGCGCACTTAACTGCTATGCCATGGGGCCGGCCCCCCAGATTTCCAGCTTTTTGGGGGAAAATTGTAGGATCTGACAATACTGGTCCCGTTTTCCCACATCACCCTGGGCTGCTGAAGCTACTGCTCCCCAAAGATGGACCTGACCCTCTGGTTTTCCACTGGAGATGCTGTGGTTGGTCATGCCTGGCCTGCCTCAGTCATTTGTTTCCTGCCTGGCTCCTGTGGGCATCTGAATTTTCAACTCTTCTATATTGTTTTCCTTGAATGACATAATTGATTATTTTTCCTTCTTTGCTCCATCTGTTCTTACCTTAATGCATTCTGACCAGGGTCCCTTCCTTCCTTTTCCAGGTCCACCTCTCTGGCCAGCAGCATTTTTATGGGTAAACAGAGAAGTCAACTGTTTATGTGGGGCAGTTAGAAGAGTTCTTCAAAATATTCTACCCCAGGGGCCGGCCCGGTGCCGCAGCGGTTAAGTTTGCACTCTCCGCTTTGGCAGCTCAGGGTTCGCAGGTTCGGGTCCTGGGTGTGGACCGACACACCGCTTGTCAAGCCATGCTGTGGCGGCGTCCCATATAAAGTAGAGGAAGCTGGGCACAGATGTTAGCTCAGGGCTAATCTTCCTCACAAAAAAGAAAAAAAAAATCCTACCCCGTCCTTTAAGAGGTGCAGGCATTGTATCTCCATAAAGCTTCTGTTGGAATGCAAATGTCTTCCTGGAAGAAGTGGCAAAGTACCCCAGTAAGGTTAATTTATCAGATAGGCTCCTTAAGCATAAGCCTAGGAGGCAGCGGGAGAAAAGATTTAGAGATCGTGTGGGTTAAGAGAGTGGTTAGGGAAATCTTATGTCTCTGAATGGCTGAATGCCTCAGATGGCATGCTGTGGTGGTGCAGCTTCAGAGCTGGAAAACAGCATGAGAACACGGCAGGGGATGGGGTAGGGATGGGTAGCTATATGTGGTCCTTCTCCAACTCAGCAAATTTGCCCCGGGCATATCCCCTGCTTGACCATTTTCTTTCCTTCTCTAAATCCCTCCTAGGAGTCAGTATAATGTGGAGGCTAAGAGCTGGACTCTCAAGTTAGATGCACTGGATTTGAATCTTGTCTCTGCTTCTTACTGGCTGTGTCACCTTGGGTGTTAATCTTTTTGTACATCAGTTCTTCGTTTATAATTTGAGTATAATAACATACTACCTCATAGAGTTGTGAGGACTAAAAAATAAAATACTATTTGTAATCTTGGAGCACAGCTTGGCAAATAATTAGCCCTCAATAAACATCACTTCCTATTGCTGCTGTGGTTATACTGGCAAGAGCACTAGACATGGTGGGGTCAGATGACAAGAGATCAAATTCTGGCCCTGCCATGCAATAGCCATGTGACCTTGGACAAGTTTATTTATCCAAGGAGTTTTCTCACCTGGACAAGACGTTGTGAGAAAACTTTGGACAAGACGTTGTGAGAATTATAAGTGAGGTTAAACAAAACAATTGAGATGAAAGCACATCTTGTCTCTCTCCTGCGTTCTCTCTCCCTTCTCTACTTCCTGTGATGGGTAGTGTGGACTGGTGGAGAGAGTAAGATGAGCGCCCATGAAAAGACAACTAACGTTATCACATGGTAATGGAAAATAAGAACTGTAGTGATGGCGCTTCTTTCATTCCCAATATTGGTAATTCGTGTTTTATCTTTTTCTTGATCAATCTGACTAAACATTTGTCAATTTTATTGACTCTTTCAAACAACCAGCTTTTGGTTCCATTGACTTTCTCTACTGTTTTTCAGTTTTCAATTTCATTGATTTTCTGCTCTCTTCTTTATTATTTCTTTCCTTCTGCTTACTTGGAATTGAATTTATGTTCTATGGCCCTTTGGAGGCCTAAAATTCACTTTAATAACTAAGATAGTTTTTGGCTTCTAAAGAATCAATTTTATCCCCCTTGGGGGCAATATTGCATATAATATTTGGGGTTGACTTTTTTTTCTTTCCATACTTTAAGGTTGTCACTCCATTATCTTCTGGCTTCCGAGAAATTGGCTGTAAATCTTACCTTTGTTGATTTGTATATAGCATCTTCCCTTCTTCATTTTCCCCTCCCCCCACCACACCTCCCCAGCTTAATTGAAGATTTTCTTTTTCTATCTTCCTTTTTCAGAAGTTTGATTACGATGTGTCTGGGTACGTGGGTTTTTATTTTTGTTTTTTTATTTATTCCACTTGGGGTTCTCTGGAGTTCTTGGATATATGTTTTTCTGTTTTTGATTAATTTTGGAAAATTTTTGGCCAAATCCGTTCAAATATTTCTTCTGTCCTGTTTCTCTTAATCCTTCTGGGACTTCATTTACGTGTATAATAGACCCTTTGATATTGTCCTACAGCTCTTAATTGCTAGATTCTTTTTTCTTCTTTACTCTTTTTTCCCTCTGTGTCTTAGTTTGGATATTTATTGAATAAAATATTCAAGTTTATTAAGTCTTTCCTAAGCTTTGTTCAATCTCCTGCTAAGGAACTCTAATGATGACATTTTTCATATCTGATATCATTTGTTATTGTTTTTTTCTGGCATTTCCATTTTCCATTTTTGTATTTCTGTTTCTCTCTGGAAATTCCCAATTTTCTCATGCATGTTGTCTATCTTTTGCATTAGATTCTTCCTTAACATATTAATTATGATTATATTAAAGTCGCAGTCTGATAATTCTGGCATCTAGATCAACTTTGGTTTTGTTGATTTCCTTATTTCTTGGTAGTGGGGTTTTTGTTTCTTATGTATCTCAAGATTTTTTATTGAATTCTGGACATTGTGTATGAAAGGACAGTAGAAACTGAGGTAAATGGTGTTTACACCTGGAAATGGGATTATGCCTCTTCTGCAAGGCCGGTAGTGAGGGGGGTGGGGTCAGTCTAGTCAGAGGTTGAGCTGGGTTTGGATTTTGTTGTTGCTAGAGTCACCTTCAATGTACCACTGACTTCACATTCTTTCCGCAGTGGATGCTATCACCATATGCTTTGTGTGGGCCCTGGAGTGCTGAAAATTTGTCCTCATTGTTCCCTTTCCACCTCCAGTTCTCAGTGGTTCTTTGCCACAGCGGGGTCTCTCTCCTGTCCCTCCCCCAGCAGCAGACTGCTGATCATTGTTACTTGGTGCTTAAGGCTTTTGATTTGAATGAAAGATGGTCTTGGGAGATGGGTGGGCTTTCATGCCTGTGTGCAACTAAGGGGGCTCTCTCCAGTTTCCTACCTTGCCCGTTATCCTCCTCATGAGTATCAACTGGTGATCGTTGAATAGGATCTTGTAAATGAATGCAAACTCCTCTTGTGTCTGGAGCTCCCAGTTATTCTAATCTGTCATGCTAACCTACACTCAGCCTTCCAGAATTGTAAAAATGCTAGCTATTTTTTCTTACTCTCTTTTATGGTGACTGCCTTTTCCTCCCATGCTCTGCCAGATCTGAAACTGTTTGTGCATCCCATCTTTCCTTGGAGGGGCTTGTCATTTTTTTTTTTTTTTAATTCAGTTCACCTGGTTATCTTGCAACCTCCTATTTCTCCTGGGTTCAAGAGAAGTTTTGAGTCCACAGATTATCCAGATTTCTCTTGTTGTTAAGATGGAAGCTATACTTTCTTGCAGTTGTCTACATCCTAAGTGGGAGCAGCACCTCTGGAAGTGGATAGATTCTCTTCACCATTCTCCTTACTCCTTAGTCCTTCCATCGAAGAGTGGGCTGAGCTCCCATTTCCCTCCTATGTTTTATATCAGAGGTTCTTGAGAAATAAAATATACTGCTCCTTTGTGGATTGTATTTTTCTCATCAGGTGTCCATAACCAATATTTGTTTAAGGAAAAATCCCCTTTTAGAGGTTTAGTGTGATAATTTGCTAACTTTATGAACTGGAGATCAAAAAGACATGGCTTGGGAAATGTTTTTTAGAAGAAATTATTTTTTATTATAAAAGTAATTCATTAACAAAGTAGAGAGTTTAAAAATGCAGAAAGATAAAAAATAAAGAAATAAAAATCACCCATATTCCCATCAGCTAAAGAAACCACTACTAATTTTATTGAATTTCTTCTAGTCATTTTTCTATGATTATATTTATGTTGGTTTGTATACGTAAGTGTACATGCTCAAGTATATAATTTGTGTTTTGTTTAAATAAGCTAGTTCCAAAAAAGTGTGTTTTTCTGTGAGTTGAGTCCTGTGGCACTCATGAAATGATGATGTGTTATTCACGTTTCTCTGGTAAAGATGCCAAAATTTATGGTATAATTTCAGTTTGCTGTGAGGGCTGGATTCCTTCTCACAGCTATTTCACACGAGCAGCCAGGACAGGTGTATATATGTGAGTCCAGTGGAATGTAATCCATTTCAGAAAAGACCAGTTGTAGATTCTTTGTGCTGAGGTCACTCTTTCCCCGTGTAACTTCCATCCCTTTTCAATTATGCTGACCCATTGTCAGGCTTAGAACAAATAGAAATGAGGAAAGTATATGATGTTTTTAATATGTATTATATTTTCTTTCTTTTCCAGGAAGTATTTTGGAGAAAAAATTGGACTGTATTTTGCCTGGCTGGGATTATATACATCATTCCTCATCCCATCTTCTGTGATTGGGGTGATAGTGTTTCTTTATGGATGTGCAACAGTCGAAGAAGATATTCCTAGGTAAGATGATTTTAAAGAAAAAGGCTCAATTTCCGTATGTTTCATCAATTTCCATATGGAGTTTCATCCCAGTTGCAAGTACATTTCACATGCCTCCTTCCAAAGTCCTCACTCTATCCTTCTCCTTCCCTTACCACACATGTAACTTCCCTCCAGAGACAGATCTTGGAGCTACAGATTCTGGGGATGACTTCAGATTCTGGGAGCTACAGATTCTGGGCATGGCCTGCTTCCTTTCCTAGGCAAGCTCTTCTCCGGGGCCAGGGTCTGATGTGGGCAGGTGGATAATACCTGATGAAAAAAATCATGTCTAAGACATGCTTTTTTCCCTCAACTTCATGACTTTTTTCTCTGGTTTCCCATAAGACCCAACACGGGAAGTGTTGAGTGGCATCGGGCAGAGATCACATGTTTATATGGTCAGATGCTGTTGGGATAAAATGCTGTGAGGCTGTCTGTAGAAGCAGGTAGCTGTGGAACTGAGAAAAGCTCAGCCTCTGGTTCAGGAAGTCAGAAACGCAGGAAGTGACAGGACCCCTGGTGCGGCTCTTGGAGAGCAAGAGATGGAACAAAGGATGATCTTTATGAGGAAGAGAGAGCCTACAAAGAAAATAAGCACTTAAAAATAGCATCCTTTAGGACTGACAGTGATATATATTAGCTATGTGATTGGACAGTTCACTCTTGAGTCTGACTTTCCTTGGCTGTAAGATGGTAATGGTAACATCTACCTTATGGTGGTGGTGTGAGAATTAAAGGAGACATTGTTTGGCACGTAGCAGAGTATTAATAAATAATTGTTGAATGAATTAATGTGCGTGGAAATAGAGTACAAGAGGCAAAAGAGACACTTAGCCGATATATAGAATTTAAATCTCTTGCCAACTTCAAAACTGTCCTTGAAAACTGAAGCATGGTTAATCTATTTTAATACTCTTTTGATGGCAAGTGATAGAACTGCAACTTGAACTAGCTTAAGCAAAGAAAGGGAATTTATTATAAGGGTTCTGGGATGTCTCAGAGAACCCAATGGCGGGCATGTGGCTAGCCTAAGGAACAATGGAAACAGGGACTCCTATTTATGTCCCGTCTCTGATTCTGTTATTTGTTTCACTACAGATTTCCTCCGTTGGGTGTAAACATTGCTGTTAATAGCTCATGGGTGTTATATCTTAGAGTTTATACTTGATTGTCCCCAAGTGAAAAAGTCCTATTGGCTCATTTTGGCTTAGGTGGAGGCCCTAGGGCAACCAGTTGCAGCTGTGGGGCAGGATCACAATGTACCTTTGTACACTATAACACACTGTAACTTTGAAGATGTTCCCTCAACAGCTGGATGGATGAGGACACCGGGCAGACTTATGGGTGTCCACTACAGTTGGGGATAGCAATGGGAAAAGTAATAGCCACCCTGAAGAAAAGGCCGGGAGCTGTGCTCTTTTGAGGAAAGTGTATCCACCAGTGGTAGGAACCAGGTGGCTTTTCTTGTCACTATGTCAACCTACAGAAATGGTCTCGCAAATTAGAGAAACTGGAGATGGTGTTGTCAATAGTTAGAATAAAGCTGGATAACTTGGTGTAGGTGACAAGGGTTTAGATGTTTTTGTATGTGAAACTCCGGTATTATCTGTCCGGTGTTCTTGACTGGGAGTTCTGGGACCTTCAGCGCAGTAGATATGTTGTGGGGTTCTGCCTTCCCCAGGCCGTCTAGTATGAGGGAAGAGCTAATACTTACCTAATACCTACCTTGTGCCAGGCATGGTGCTAGGTGGTTTTTACATACTAGTTTCTTTGATCCTGTAGAGATCAACATTATAAACTCAATAAGAGAGTTATTATTATTTTCACCTAACAGAGATGGAGAATTGATGCTAAGTGACATCATAGAACTTGTCCAATTTCTACAACTAATAACTGTCAGGGTTGGGCTTTGACCTCTGTTGCTTTCTGCTCCAAAGTCTCTGCTTTTTCCAATATACTGTGAAATCTTCCAAAGGGCTCATATCCTCCTTGGCAACCCAGTAGCTTCAACTGGCCTTTCCTAGTGCATTCTCAGAAAATACGGCTCCTGTCATTTCCTCGGCCAGTTGTGATCCCTAGAGAGCTGGGCCTCACGTTGATCAAAACTGGAAAACTCCATACTGTGCACAGAGAACTAATGCCAGTGTAGTGGGTGATGCATCAGTGTGCTGGTTTACATCAGGACTTAGAATTTGTGTCCTGGTTCCCCACATGGGAATACAGGTGACAGTGACCACTGCAGCTGGAAATGACCGTGGTCTACACATACTGCAACAATAAACATCTATGCACGTGCACGCACACTCATATATGTGCAGGTATATATGCATGTAAAATGCAATCATTATCATTGCAGATGTATCATATTGTCAGAGTGTGATGTTTTACGAACTATGGATAGCAACCCATTAGTGGATTATGGAATCAATTTACTAGTCTCTGAATTCCAATACTGAATCTAAACAAATTCATACTCTTTCAGGATCCATGTCTATTAACCACTCCTAAGCGTGATTAAAAACTTGCATTGTTCCTGGGATTATTTCAGAGGTTTCCAATTTTGGCATTAAGCCTGGAATTTACTACCTGTGCATCATTTTTTAAAAACTTTTTATTTTGAAAACAGTATAGATGTACAGGAAGTTGCAAAGATAGTACAGAGGGGCCCAGTGTACTTGTCATCCAGTTTCCCTCAATGGGTATTTCATATACAACTATAGTACAACATCAAAACCAGAAAATTTACATTATGTGGAACTTTAAATGGTACCTTTTATCGCTAATAACTTTGATATGTGACATACAAGTATTACTTGTAAGTAATAATTCCATATGTGCGTGATACATCTATAGAGCTTTCCTCTACTTACCAAGGGATTGGTTCCATTTGTTAGGCATTTGCTTACATGAGTAGGAAAGACTGGAGCATTAAAAACAAAAAAGCTGATTAATCTAAACCGTATTGAAAAAAATTGGTTATTTTAGGTCTGAGACCTTAATAGCAGATGTTCTGTCTGAATATCCTGAATAACTGCCTGGTTGCACCTTCTCCCTTTGTGCTAGCCCAGCCTTGTGTCACCTAACTTGTGACCAATGAGTCATTCATTAAGAACACCATTTGGTTTGGGGTGTTGATTCAACTGATTGTCAGGCCATTTATCAGCATTCTTATGCTTTCTAGAGAAAATGAGAGATTGAAGAAATACACCATTAGATTTGTACCCATAGTTATTTCTAACTAGAAATCTGTGGATTATGCAGCTAGCGAATAACCCAGGCATGATTTCAATTCTAGGTGAGCTCCCCTCATCTTTCAACTTGTCTAGAAGTAGCTTCTCTCAGAGAATACAAAGTCATTTTAATGTCATTCTGAGGCTGAATTTCTCCAGAATTTTGTTCAAATTGCTAGCATTGAAAAAACAAGCGAACAAACAAAACCAACCAACAAAACAAAAAACACCTCAATACATATAAAGCATTCTGAGTTCAAATTTAAATGATTTGGGGGTATCCATGCCACAATGGCCGCCATTTTGTACAAATGACTGGTAGTAGACTGCACTCTAATTTAAAAACCAAGAATTTACACAGCACTAATGTTTACAAGTGCTTTGTACCAACCCGGTTGCTAGTACTTTTTTCATTCTTGACCTTTTAGCATTTACTAGGTTCGATTAGGATTAGCTTGACAGGATTATCCCTCCCCCCAGTCCATGTGTAAAAAAGCCCCTGAACAACAAAATGACATCCCTAACACACACCTTTGAAGGACAGCATTGAGAACTCACATGTTCTCAAACATCAAAGCACAGCTCTTTGCCAGAATTTATACAGATCAACAATTTTCTGTTTGAATCTGTTTTCTAAGAGGATACTCTCTTCCCTGAAAGTAGCAACTCCTTCTCAACTACACAGTGAACACTTGTCTGACCCAGAAGACTTAAAATAAACCTTGCTCTCTGGTTACCAATAAGAACATGCCCAGGGGAAACTAGCATGGCTGAACTTATTATTAAGTATTACTATTTAATCTTGTTGATGTGAATGAGTCACTGCTATTGACACTTGCCAATGGAGAGCTTAGCAGCGAGTCAGTAGAGGAACTAGGATTTATCCTCAGAGACCTAGAGTTTCCATTCTCTCACACAGAAGGCCTTTCCCTTTTGGACTTAATAGCTCATTAAATACAAGCCTGAAAGCTGGGACGTGACAGAAAGTGATGGCCCTCAGTAAAACCCTTCAACTTCTTTATGAAAGGGAACTAGACCCAGGCATCCCTTAACTTCCGGGTTTCATCTAAGCACGTGCTTTAGCACACAGGGTACCAGCTTCCTCACCCAGGTCAGCCATGCTCTGTAGCACCCTCTGCTGCCTCTTTCTCGAGAAGACACAGCTGTGCTTTTCAGCATAGGATCCCCTGCTTCCCCATCACTGTGTTTCCAGCTGCTCCATGAGAACAGCCAGTGCTTCATTTCCATGAAATCTTGCGTTCTCCACCCTTTCCCCCAAAACCATGAGCTTAACCATCTACCCCTTCACCAGGGGGAATATTACACACCAGAATGTTGAGTTCATTCATTTTTCCTACCAATATATAGTGTGGAGAGATACTGCGGAAGCCAGTTAGGGCTGGTAGTTCTTTGGTTTTTATTTGCAAACACTCATATAAGCCTAAATTTTTTGGATCCAGCTAGTAACCTGGAGGGATGAATGGAATTTGAAATATATTATTTAGTCCATTAAATAGAAATATATGGAGAATAGGTTAGAATATAGGGATGGTTTTGTGACTCATGCTTCTGTCTCTAAGAATCATAGTATCTAGACTTGGGAAGAATTAACCTTATTTTTTCATTCTCCCTAATCTTATGTCACAGTTATGATAATTGTTATTAGGTTGAGGTAGTTAATCCCTATTCTACAACTGGTCATGCAGCTGATGCACTTAGAAAAGGGCTTCCAACTCACATCTGACTCTATTCTTCACATGGCTTCTTCTTCTAGAAGTAAGAGCTTGTGTTGGTCCAGCCACACACTCGTGTTTGTTTCTCCTTGTGACCAATCTTACACATTTGTGAGACAGCCAGTAGAGTTTAACAAGACTGCCTGTACTTGAATGATGATGATAAAATCTAACTTCAGATGGGTGATTTATTCATCATTATTGATATTCTCAATATATTTCTATTTTATGAATCAACCTCATAGACTTAACACATTTTGAAGGGACTTTATAAGGCATCATTCAGTGTACAACATCTCTGACATATGGTCACTAATTTTCTGTTGGGACGCTTCTAGTGACAATGGGTTCCATACTCAGAAGGTGGCCCTTCCATCTTTTTTTTGGACAAAATACAAGAATAACACTCTCAAGGTGAAGAATCCTATTCCTGCTTCTTTACCACACCTCACTTACGGAGTTGATAAACTCAGCTGTGGATTCAGAAGTGGGAGATGTTTTGGGGGTCATTTGCTTAGCATGGGTCCTGCTTGAGCTCCCCCTGACCCAGAAGTCTATGTCTACTGCAGCAAAGAGATGTGTGACCAGCAGAATGCCTTCACCATGTGTCCCCTGTGTGACAAGTCCTGTGATTACTGGAACCTCAGCTCAGCCTGTGGTACGGCACGGGCCAGCCACCTGTTTGACAACCCTGCCACGGTCTTCTTCTCCATCTTTATGGCTCTGTGGGGTAAGTGGTCATCATGAGGCTTGCTTATGTGGGTGGTACGTTTAAGTGGGTTTAGTGACCAAGCTCTAAAGCCCATATCCTTTGGTTCCTTTAGTATTTAGTCCTTCTATTTCAAGAAGTATTTTAGGGACAATAGATTTCTCTCCTTTACTCTCATATATGTGAATGGAACTGGGAATACCCTACATGGCTTTATATATTTTTTGAAAAGATACAGTAATGTTAATCTTATGTTAATCTCATGTATGATTTATTCAAAATTTGAACCAATGCATGTTTTGAAAAACCCTAGCACACCCGTAAGACGAGTAAAGTCATAGGTATCATCCAACATAACACTCAGAGTGGTGTGGTGACTGCCATGGTCACAGAGTTAGCTGGTGGTAAAGGTGGGTTCAAACCTGGTCTCCTGACTCCAGGTTCAGTACAATTTCCAGGACACCATGAGTGTAGGCTGTAGACATTTTACTTAATGCCAGAGTGGTGTTTTCAATATTCCCACTGAAGGGATTTGTGAAGGAAAGAACAAGTAGTCCCTTCATTTTCCTCCTCCTCCCTTACCCCCAGAGTATCAGGGTAATAAACTTTCTCTGGGCCACAGCCATCTCACTAAATGCACGCATACACACACACACACACACACACACACACACACACACACATACACTTCTATTCTCACAAACTGGAATAACCTGGAACAACAACCCCATGGTATCTGAACATTTCCAAGAAGACACACCCATGTGTATTAAAAAAAAAGGACCAAGACAACATGTTTCAGCCCATCTTGAGTAGCCACCTGCTTTTTACTTATCACTGGATGTGCAGGCTCTTAGCTTTCCAACTGGATCACAGACAGGCAGGGCCGAGATTTTGATGCAGAGGCTTCTTGATTTATCACTGACTCCGTGGGGACTGGAGGACATGCCAGGATGGGGCCGTGAGTCACACATCCCTGAAAGTGTGAGGAGGAAAGAGGGAGACGTCTGGTCTCAGCAATGCTGGGAGAACTGGACACCACCTTCCTCCATTCCCTGTAGGGACCTCTACTTGGGTGGAGATAGAACCAGACTGGAAAGATTTTCATATTACTAGGCCACCAAGGAAAATTTCCAGGGGACACTCTCTTCTCTATTCTTAGGAAGAATAGTCACTGCCCAGGGGCACATGGACAGTGGTCAGCCCATGAAATTAGGGAGGGAGTAGGGGAAATGGCACTTGTGACCATATAGCTCTGGAATTGTTCTCAGGATGGGTCAGTAGAACAGACTGAAGTTGAAGCTTGTTGCCTGGGAAGTCATGGGCAGTTCTGTCTCCTCTTCAAGGAAGGGCATCTTGTAATTACCCCCAAATCCAGTTGAACTGATTTGGAACCTGGAATACACATCAAATACAATTTGACATATTGCAACCCTAATTCCCATTAAGCTGTCTTGCAGATATTACCATCACCGAGTAGCAGAAGCTTAGTAACGCTGGGTCCATGATCCCTTAAGAACTTTCCTGGGATGCATATTCCTTGTTGCAGAGAAACTTGGTTTTCAATTGTACTTTCCCACTTTCAAGTCCCAACAACTGCCTCTTCTCTTTCCTCAATAGCTGTGATGAACAGATCTCAGAACCCCTTCTGAGATGGCAGTGATTAACTACCCCCACCCCTGACTCCTCTCTCTTCCTCTCATGTAGCCGTGCAACGAAAATAAAAACGGTGGGATTGTGTCAGAACTTCCTGGTTTAGGACAGGGTTTGGTTTTGTTTTTTTAACAGACTTGCTGTGGTTTTTGTGATCGTGTATTTGGTTATGGCAGCCAAGAGCCCCTGGGCATGACTGCCTACAAATTACAATTAAAAATGATAGTAATGCCTCTCATTACCATGATTATTATGATCAGTGGTGCTGTGCTGGGTGGGCCTGGGCCAGGGCCCAAGCCTGCCAGGAATAAGGGTAGGAAGAAGAAGTGGTTCTCCTCAGAGAGACTCAGGCTGTTGGTAGAGCAGGAGTGGGGGTTGCTGAGAGAGTGGCTGCATGGAGGATACTGGTCAGCAAGACCTGGGTCTGTTGGAGTCTTCAGACCCAGCTCCCCTGTGGTTCTGGCCTCAAACTCCAGGGAACTTCGGAAGGAGAATGAAGCCCTATTGAAAAGGGAAGTGAAAGGACAGGGTTTCTGAATTCTTTTCTGACTAGAGGTTAGGGACACTGATTTAGGCATCAGGCAGACCTAAATGTGTGTCTCAATTCTGCCCCTTACCAGCTGTAGATGCCATAGCAAGTCAAGGTGAATCTAGCCCTGTGTCACTAAAGTCAATGCTCTTAACCGAGGTGCCATATAACCTGGCACATGGTTCTTAACCTTGGAGCATCATTGTCCTCGTATGTAAAAAGGGTGAAGTAATACCTACCCCATAGTGTTCTTGTGACAAGTGAGTGAGATATGTGTGCAAAGCACTTAGCATGGTGTCTGACACATAATGTGCACGAGGAAGTGTGAGCTGCTCTTCATTGTTATGATGGTTCTCCCTTGTCCTCCCGACTCCTCTTCAATGACTCTTGCCTCTCTCATCTGTTCCCACAGTCTGACTTCTCTCCTTCATGGAGACCACAGTTGGGAAGCACTCCAGGCCCTGCTGTATGCAGAGCCCTTCTCAGGCACTGAAAGAGTGGAGGAAGAGGAGGGACGTCCCCCTTATTCTCAGACCATCCCAGGCCAATGCTGGTGTTGGGAGGTCAGGATGTACTCACATGGAAAAGCCTTAAACCCAAGGGAGAAAACATACAAATCAGTGCACTGTAATGTAGCATCAACTAAAACAAATGTAGCTGTAAGTAACTGCACATTCAACCAGTCTGTAGGTGTTTGTTGTGCTCAATTCTGTGCTGTGCCCAAGGTAGACAGAGGCAGCTAAAGTGGAGGAAGACTTTGCCTTCCTGTTACTACCACACTGCAGACCTGAATGGCAGCCAACAGTCCAGCTAGCAAAGAGAATCCAGGCTCTTACCAGGGCTGGTGCGGAGGTGTAGGGGTGGCATCAGGGAGTGTCACGTCTCTTCCCTTTCCAGGGCACCAGGTCCTAAGGACAGTAGGAGTGCAGAGGAGAGGGTGCCCGTGAGCCTGAGCTTATGGAAGAGATGGGACTCGAGCTGGTCAGGAAAGGATGAAGGTAGCATAAGAGAGGGGGCCAGTTTGCACAAGTTGGAGATGAAGAGGACAGTGAGGAAGTGAAGTCAGCAGCAATGCAGATGTGAGGTGTGAGTTGACAAATGGTGAGAATAGATTTAGACAGATGAGTCTGGCTAGATAAATGAAGTCCCAATATCCAGAGAGAACTTAGACCGTAAGAAGTCATTGAAAGTTTAGGCAGGGGGGTGTTGGCATCCTCCTCTCCCCAACACTTCTTCATTGCCCAGATCTCATTGTTCTTCAAGACTCATCTCAGATGTCTTCTCTAGCAACTAGCACTCCCTCTTCTACATGCCCACAGCTTTTTAGCTGTGTCATTCTTAAGGCCCTGGTCACTTTATGCCTTGTATTGTGGTTATTTACAATCTTTCTTCATAGACTGTAAACAACTGGAGAGCAAAATCCACATCAGATTCACCTAATCTCCCTCTTGATGTCTAGAACAGAATTTTGTATGTTGCAGTTACCTTAGTCAGGCCTAGTTTTTTTTGCAGGACTAGAAATTCATTCAGGCTTGCTCAAATAACAGGAGATGTATTGTAAGAAAGCAAGAAGCAAGTTCATGGATGCAGGAAATGAAATATAGCCAGCCTCTGGGGAACTGGAGCTGGAGGAGCTATCAGAAACCACAGCCCTTTCTCCTTTCAAGGGCTGCATGGTTTGTCCAATTTCTGCTTCTCTTTGTATCTCTTAGTTTCAGTTTTCAAAAAAGAGGATCTGATTGGTCCATCAGCAGGCTCTGGATTAGATGTTTAATCCTGGTATAACAAGACAAGGCTGTAGAGTAGAGGGTGTTAGTTCTTTCTGGAGCATGTTGGGCTGGCCCTTCAAGGGGCTGTGGTTAGGGCATTCAAACTGACCAATGTGTAGGTATGGTAGGCATTCAACAAATATTTGCTAAACAAATGGAAGAAAGAATGAATATCATTTAAGGGAGATTAGTCTATCAGCTACGTGCAGGATGGGTTGGAAGGCTGAGACTCTGGAGTCAGGAAGAACTCTTAGGAGACTGCTACATAACCTCAGAAAGATAATTAGGGCCCAGAAAAAGGAAGTGGTGCTGGGAACAGAAAGAAATATGGGAAAAAATGTGAGAGTGCTGAGGAAGGTGCAGGAAGAAAGAATATGTGTATAGGGAAGATGAGGCTTGTCAAAAAGGACTACAAACCGTTCCATTCTTATTTTCTTCATTCTTCCATCCTTCCTTCATTTCTTGAGATCAGGGTTTACTCTCTTCTCAAAACCTAGGGGGCCAGTCCAGTGGTGTAGCAGTTAAGTTCATGCATTCTGCTTCAGCAGCCCGGGGTTCGCCAGTTTGGATCCTGGGCATGGACCTACTCACCACTCAGCAAGCCATGCCGAGGCAGTGTCCCACATAGAAGAACTCGAAGGACCTACAACTAGGATATACAACTATGTACTGGGGCTTTGGGGAGAAAAAAAGTAAAAGAGGAAGATTGGCAACAGTGTTAACTCAGGGCCAATTTTCCTCAAAAACAAAAACAAAAAAATACCAAGCCTAGAAGTGGGGAAAAGTGTGTGTGTGTCTCTCTCTCTTTAAATATATCTGTTGGGCTTTCAGGGATGTGGACTATTTTGAGCAATTCTAGCTAGAAGTAGGAGGAAGGGAATAAATGCTTTAAGGAAAGTCCTTAAAATTTGAAATCTATAAGTTTCTCCTTCATTGGTGAACCCAAAGGGTACTCAAAATCCACTCTTCAAAATTAATAGAAATTTTTCTTTCTTTTTAAGCTACTATGTTTCTAGAAAACTGGAAGAGATTACAGATGCGACTGGGCTACTTCTGGGACCTGACTGGTATAGAAGAGGAAGAAGTGAGTTCTCTTGTGTACTTCTTTTGGTCTTTGCTTTGCTTTGACCCTGGAAATAGATTGTCTTGAGTGAGATAACCACTTATGTTTGCTATCCCGTTAGCCGATCACTGGCTGAGTCTCACTGTGGCTGCTTTTCTAGCTTGGCTCCATGGGCTAAATCATGGTTGATGTGCACTGATGCCAAGAGTTCAAATCCCCTCTCTTCTCTTGAACTGTAAGACATTAGACCTGATGGGTAGCCAGATGTCCTAGTGACCCTTTCTGGGAAAAAAGATGGCATAAGAGGCAAGGCTTGTGGTAGTCTTGAGATTTAACTCAATATTATTCTACCTCCCACCTCAGTGGTGCTAGTGAACATGAAGCCAGAGAATAGGAATTGCTCCCATGTGACCCAGAGTATGGATCTGTCAGAATGCCTCTCTGAGCCTAATGAGGGTCAAGGGAGAGGCACGGGTGCCAGAGGCCAGTTGCCTTTGATGTCTATGGATGAAGAAAGAACCACTAAACCACTACAGTGTAAGCCAGTACAGCATTAGTGAAACTGGAGAATGAGCTAAGGGAAGAGGGTAGGTTCTTCTAGAGTCTAGTTTTATGGACAGATGATGTTTAAAGGATGAAAGCAAATCAGCCTTCCCTCTGGGCTCTTTTGAGTGCTAGAGCCACAGTCTTGATGGAGGCAAGTTGACGATGAGTAGCGTGCGCATGGTTGCTCACAGTTATCTCTTCCCATGTGCTACCATTGACTGAACAGCAAGTGTGTACATCAGATTGGTGCTCCCAATATTGTGGACCTCGTCAAAGAGGTACTGGGGATAGTGTCTAGAAGGATCAGGAGGCACTTCTAGTGCCTGAATACCCATTTGCAAAGGCTGGCCACAAGCATTGTGGTGGCTACATGGAGAACAGGCCTTTTCTGTACTTTCCTACAGTAATTACTGTGCCTTGCTAGGGTGTTATGGCCCCGATGTTTTATGACCAAGCAAGTTAAATTCCCAATTTAGTCTTGTTCTCAAGCCTATGTGGCTCCCCATGTCGGTGGTGTAACATCACTTCTCCTTAATGCTCTAATTAGTCAGCTTGCCTTTGAGCTGGTGGGCATTCCATTGCCATGTATTGAGCACATGTGCTTGCTCTATTCCAGTCCTCTGCATTGAGTATATGCCTGGAGACTAACAGCGTCATGGATTCCGTGGCAAATGAGAGAATGTACATATGGATTCTGCCTTCATAGGGGATACAAATCAGTTAGGAAGATAAGCAGCAGAATAATAAAGGCAATCATATTTCTTGGGGGAAAATGCCCAAACTAGTGCTTCCAGTAGAAAGAGCTGTAGAAAGTGGATGGTGTGGGCAATCTAGTTGAGACATCTTTGTCCTATTGGCTCCATTTGATTCTGGGGAGAGAGAGTGAAGAAGGAAGGAAGAAGAAGAGAAGAGAAGGGAAGGGAAGGGAAGAAAAGGGAAGCCAAGGGAAGGGAAGAGAGCTGTGGCTGGGTATGGTGAGACGGGTACAGCTCCTACTCATAATGCAGGGCCTAGGATATTTCCAAAGAAGAGAAGAAACATCCTGGCATCCAAGCTCGCATGGGGCCAGAGACAAGCTAAGCGTGTCTGCTAAGTAGAGTTGAGGAAGCCAGCAATTCTCTCTGTTAGAGAGGAAGTATAAACACACTCACACGGAGAAAAGCATCAGTGATGACTCAATGCCCTTGAAATCTCAGTCTCAGGCCCTGGCAGGAGTGGGATTGTAACTCATTTTTTTTTTTCTGTAGCCAGGTTTCCTGTTTTCTGTTTAACTCAATGAGCCATGGTAACTTCATGGGAGGTACTTGATTTGAGGAACTCATGTGCAGGCTGAGAGTGGCCTGGCCAAGACTGGGTTTACTCATAGCACAAGGAGACATTCCTGATGGGCTCTCTGTGTGAGGTTCCTGCAAGGCTGGTCAGTTCTACAGCATGGTTCATGTGCCCCGTGTGTGCAAGCCCAGGGCCAAGCATGGTTGAGAGCAAGCGAAGAGAGCCTTGTCTTTTCCCTTAATGTATTTATATTTTGGGCTAGGATATCAAACACTTAAAATTCAGTTCAATCTGAACATATGCATTAAGGACCTACTATGTAGCATGTTTTGGTATGGAATATGGAACTACCTCAGGCATAGTCTCTGATTTCCAAAGGGTCACATTCCTCTCTGGTGCTGTCTGGCCTGTAAATATTTAGAATACAGTAGTGTTCTGGCTAACATAGGAAGAAGAAATGCTTAAAAAAAATTAGCGTTTTAAAGACCGGTTGAATTTCCACGGGCAGCAAAGGGAAGAACAGGGGCCCATAGGGAGGAAACAGCGAGCAGAAGCCTCAGTCTGGAGAAGCTGGAGGTGTGGGTCAGAATGGGTGAGGTGTCTGGGAAGGCTAGTTGGCTACAGGGAGCAGGGGTTGAGATGCAGTGGGGACCAAAACAGCAAATATAGGCTGGTGGCCATGTCAGGGGGTGCTGATTACTGGTCTGTGTCTCCTGTAGGTCATGAGAAAGCATAGAGGGCAGGAAAGGTGGGTATTTGTGACTTGTATGAGTGTCCTAGGACTTATATGAAGTGTTCTGGGCAGGTTTAACCTACATTCACATGAGGAGCAAGAGGATGGAAGACATTACTTGGGTGCTGGGGAGACGGGGGCAGTGGTCCTTGAAGGCCATGATTAGAAGTTTTCTTTTCTTTTTTTTTCTTTTTTTGATGAGGAAGATTGGCCCTGAGCTAACAACATCCATGCCCATCTGCCTCTATTTTGTATGTGCGATGCCACCACAGCATGGCTTGATGAGCGGTGCATAAGTCTGCACCCGGGATCCTGCGAACCCTGGGCAGGATGCATGAACTTAAACACTACACCACTGGGCTGCCCCAGAAGTTTTTCTGTTTTAACCAGACACCATCTCCCGCTATCAAGAATATCAGGAATGCTCCCATGGCCAGCTGTCTGTAACCCTAAGACATTATTCTTCCCTGTGGTCTTCACTAGGAGACACTTACTTCTTCAGGGGAAAGGAGAGTGCTAGCTCACACATAGACTGAAGCCCATTCACCCTTTGTTCCTCCCACCTGGGGTGTCCCCAACATGCAGTCCACTCCAGGAGGGGTGGAATAAGCAGGGGGGCCCAAGTCCAGATTGTAAACCAGGAGAAGTGCAAGGAGACTGGAGACTGCATTCTTGCTGGGACAGGGAAGGAAGTGAAGAACCAAACCAAGAGCCAAACTCCTGGGTCAGTGCAGCCCCTGCCTAAGGGCCCTTCCAGTGGAATCAGCTGGGACACTGCTGAGGGACTATTGAAAGACTCCTTTGGATACTGTTTGTGCTTGTTGAAGGAAGGCCTGCCAGACCTCAAGAGTCTTTTGCTCTGGAGTGGGATAATCTTCAGCTCAGTGGGCCTCTCTTGCCTGATTAGCTTCTGTCAGGCCCCAGGTATTCCTGGGACCTCTTAGATCTCCATCTCTCTGCCATCCCTTGTCTAACACGTCAAGCTTTAGATATCCTTAACAGCTTCCCATCACATAAGAAGCAAAATCCTCTGCCTACCTTCCTGACCTCAGCACATGTCATTCTCCTCCTTGCTCAGACCTTTCGGCCACATAGGCCTCCCTTCCCTCCCAGGTTCATTCCAGTCTTTGCATTGGCTATTCCCTCTGCTTAGAATGCTCCAGTCTCTGCATGGCTTATTCTTTCTTGGCTTTTTCATCCCAACCAAACACATTACCCTCCTCAGATTGGCCTTCCTTAAATCTTTATTCTGAAGCAGCCATCCTGATTTATATCTTCTGTTGTTCTTATCCTCATCTGCTAGTTTCTTTCTTTTTTTTTTTTGTGAGGAGATCAGCCCTGTGCTAACATCTGCCAATCCTCCTCTTTTTTTGCTGAGGAGGACTGGCCGTGGGCTAACATCCGTGCCCATCTTCCTCCACTTTATATGGGATGCCATCACAGCATAGCTTGTCAAGCAGTGCGTCGGTGCATGCCGAAGATACGAACCGGCGAACCCCGGGCCGCCGCAGTGGAGTGCCTGCACCTAACCGCATGCGCCACTGGGCCGGCCCTCTCATCTGCTAGTTTCTTCTGTGTTTGTTTGCTTACTGTCACCTTCTTCTGCTTGAAGATAAGCTCCGTGAGAGGAGGGACCTTGTACTGTAGTCTCAGAGCCTGAAAAAGAGCTCAGAGTACAGTAGGTGCTCGATAACCCTTTGTCGAATGGATCTCTGGATTTACCCCTTTAGATCAGCAAATGCTGGTCCTGAACTGGCCTGGGTCCTTCTTTCAGACCAACTCCTGAAGAGACCAACCCAGTGGAAGTAGCTTTGAGAAATATTTCCCAGAGTGTTGGTGGGAGGAGTTATGTATTTGTGATGACTTGGCATCAGGCCACTTATCCAGGGAAGCCATGTTTGGGGAACATCAGGAATAAGGATGACATGCCCATGGCTGAGTGTGTTGGAGCAACCCTCACAATGCCTAGATTCTGCTTTGTCCAGGAGCTCAGTTGTCCAGTTCCCAGACTTTGAGGAATTCTGTAACCTCACCTGACCTTCTTGGCTGCAAACAGGGAGATCTTTGTCTGACCTGCTTCAGCTGGAATGTAGAGCAGCCTAAGACTCTGCTTTGAGAGTCTCGGTCTCCTGTCTATGTGCCAAGAACACTCTGCTTGTTCTACACAGAGGAGGGCGTCTGAACTGGGGCCCAGTGTGGGGTGAGGTGGGCCTCAGCCATGACAGAGGGATGTGGAGACACTCCATAGCATGTCTCTGGAAAGCCAGGGGGGTTCAGGAGCACTCCAAGAGATCTCCCTGCCACTCGGTTGGGAAGGTTCCTCAGCCCCTTGGCAGGATATGAAAGGGTAGAAGCTCCTCCAGCTTGAAGGGTTTTAGAACCCACATTACGGTACTCACCAAAAAGATACTGTTGTTGTTTTTGAATTAAAATCTTTCATTGGAATAATATAGAAGGAACACAACCAAATTTCAGAGGCCATGGAGGAAAACGTCAAACCACATTTCTCAAAGTATTCCTGCAGGACATTAATTGTTGGAGGCAAAAGGAGTTGTGTGGGAAATAATGAGTTAAGAAAATTAAGCAAATGTCTTTCTCGTAGAACTTTTCAGAGCTTTTAATATGCTCATTCTGACTCTCAGGTGATAGATTGTGTGATATTTTCCAATCTTTTAGACCCTGGAATCCTTTTTTAGCTAAAACTCTCTTGGCACACGTACTAGGAAATGCTGTATTGGAGAATGGATGAAGGTGAGAGACAAAATCAAGTGAACTTCACAAGCATGTAAAGATTTCTGGATGCTCCATATGGTGCTGATTACTGCAAGAAACACAAAATAATACAGACCAGGTAGCAAATCTTTGTATTAGGATAAAAAGACTGTCACATGCAAAACAGCTAGGAAATAATAAAAGAAAAATACATAATCAGGAGCTATGTGTGGTATAAGCTATAAAACTCTAGGATATCCGAGAGAGAGGACACCCCACCAGGTAGGTTGCAGCAGTCAGAAGGCCTCCTGGAAGGGGTGGGACTGATGCATCCTTGGAAATTGGGTGATGATGGAGGGCCTTAAAAGCACTTGAATAGCATCACGTCCTGTTGTATTGGTTGTGTTTATTAGTAAAGTGCGTGGTTTCTTCTCTCCAACATCGTGGCATGTCTTGGGAAAGCCCCAGACAGGTCAGGAGCCTAGCTTGTTGCCTTTTGGAATCTGGGACTTATGAGCAGCAATTAGGAAATGTGTGTTGCCTGAGTCCATTGTGAGCCAGCACCTGAATCCCTGCATAGGAGTTATCAGTAAATGATGTAGGAACATGAAGTCCCTACATCTGTAGATATTTGTCCTTGGAAGCTGCAGGGAAGACTTGCCAATGAGGCCAGGTGTACACTGTTAAATTCTCTTTGAAGTAAGTCATTCATCTTCCTGGTCAGCATCTGCATTGATTTGACCATGGTCTTCTTGATTAGTTGGGTGCTCTTTTTCATGCCTGGTGACTCACTATTCAGGTTTGTATTTCTGAATGGCCCAGTGATGACCTTTGAACATTAGTGTACTTGCCAATAAGTTATTCACCTAGGCTGTATGGGAAAGAGGTCCAGGCAAGTGAGTGTTAAGATTCCCTATGGCCACCTTTAACTTTGATGTTTATCGGTCGCCATTTTATCTTGCAGAATAAAGGAGTAGGGAAGAAGTTTTGTCATTGCTCTAACTCCCAGCTGTTGGGCACATCTGTTTCTCCAGCTGGGATTTGGCTCATTGAAACTTCAAGTGAGGTCTGAGGGTAGTTGGCGGTATGACCAGATGCATCCCTCTGCCTTTGGTCAAACGCTGTGCAAAGCATGTGGCTTCTCTTTGTATCAGCTGCCCAGTTAACGTGTGCTCTCTCCTTTCTCAACACTGGCGCCATCCCCAGGAACGTGCCCAGGTTTGGTTTTCAGTGTGGTAACAAGTGTTGAGTGTTTCCCCTCTCTCCCCTAGATTGTGTTCCTGGTCTAGACTCCTTGTGATTGTGTGTGGTGTGGCAGTTCACATCCAATAGCATCCGATCCTAAGTCCTGACTTCACTGTACTTATGGTGTCTGGTCATGACCCCCAGGCCACAGTCGCTCTTCTGCCTATTTACTAACCACTCTTTGACTCTTGGGTTTTAGGAGCACTCCCGGCCTGAGTATGAAGCCAAAGTTCGAGAGAAAATGCTAAAGGACAGTGACAAGTCAGTTGTCCAGAAATTGGGAACGAAGATGACTGAGAATGAAGATGAGGTAAGATGCTGGTGCTTGTCGCTCACCGTCCTCTTTATTTCATAAGATCCTGTTGTCATTTCATTTGAAATGCCTTCGTGGGCAGAGACCAGGTTGTGAGAAGCGGTTGACAGGAGTGGGTCAGGATGGAATGAGAGCATGACATCTCTCACTGTCCCGCAGTCAGAGCTCACGGGTAGCAGGCTTTTGCCGTGGCTTGATTTGTGTCTCTTTCCTGGGTGGTAGGGTCTGGACAAAATGGGAGAGCAGATTGGAGAAGAAAGAAACAGTTTCAGGCCTGGTTCCTCTGGATTCCATTACCTAAATATCTAATAATAATAACCACCACCCGCAGTGGTGTGGTGTGGTGTGCCACACCCGCAAAATGACAACTAACCCTTATGGAATGCTTGCTCTGGGCGAGGCACTGTTCTAAATGCATTATATTATTTTATTCTCACAACAAATATATGAGGCTGGCACTATTGTTATATAAGTGACAACTAATGAAAAAATTTATGTCCACAGATTAAGTCATTTGTCAGAGGTCACCCAGCCAATAAATGGTGGGTAGGTCTGGGATTCTAACCCAGATCCATCTCTGACAGTCTGTGCACCTAACATCTATGCGATACTGCCCTTCAAGAGCAACGGGGAAGTCACCCAAAGGATAAAGCAAGATATGGTTCTTAGGGCTGGCAGAGACAAATCCATGCCTGCATTTGCTTGAGATCCCCATACAATGTCCCTTACATTTCACCTTATCTGGGTGGGCCTCTAAAAGTAGGAACGTGATGGTGAACATGTCTTCTGAGTCGTATTTCTGAGTTTTATGTTGACATTCAGACATTGAAATAGAGCTTCAGAATCTGTGCTGTGATCTGTAAATCCTCAGTGTGTGTGAGTGGGGGTACGTGGTGGGCTTCTCTTTGGCAGTGCCTGTCTCCTCTGAGTGCCACCCTTCTTTGAAACCAAGAGAGTGTATGTGTGTGTTTGTGTTTGTGTCTTTCCTAATCTGGTTCCTGAAAAAAAATCAACAGGATTGAAAATCTGTTGTTTTTACATGTGTCTTTTCTCCATCTTGGATTTGAATTCAAATTTCATTTAATTTTACATTCTTTAAGTTGGAACCATTCATGTTAACATGTAAATTTATTCAAGCACCAAAACAGAAGAATGTGGTGTTTTTGAGCCCAGAACACTGGCTTTTTTTTTTAAGAAAACAGGACTTAGAAGAGAAAGAGCGTGGCCCTCTGAGTTATTTTTTTCCTAGATGAAAATTCAAATCCAAGACCACAAATTATTCAGGGAAATAATGCATTCATTCTTAGGAAAGACTAATCATCACCACCACCCTCATCAGAGAGCAAGCATTCTGTGTTCTGTCAGCTTCGGCAACTCCATGCAACCTTCTTTCTCCACCCCAGAGCAATATACAACGGATGATTTTATGGAAATCACATGTAACTTTTATTGACCACTGACTCATTTAATTTTAATTCCTTAGACGGGAATGCCAAGGAGCTGGAATTGCATATATTGAGGCTGTGGTTCTAATATAAACATTGCTTGCATATATATGCATGATAGGTCAGATAACTTTCAGGAACCATGAATAATTGAAAAACATCTGAATGCATTATGAATGATACATATGTTTATGTTTTAACATTCAACATCTATTTCATTACACTGTTGAGAATGCAAAGCTCAAAACATCTAATGCCTTATGGGCAATTGGGGAAAAATGACCTTCCCAAATGAGCAGTGCAAGATAAAAATGGCCCGAAATTTGATTGTCAGCATCCTTCTTGTGTTCACTTGGTTGTTAATATTGTGGATGCTTCTGTTCTTCTGTAAATGTCGCCAAAGGTGGGAGACGAAAGGAGGAGCACATGTTGCTCTCTGATGGGAGGGATGCCGCGCTTGCCTGCAGGAGGAGTTGAGGTCAATACCCACTGCATGACATGGCTTTGGGGGCACCATCATGTGTGGCGTATTTAGGAGAGGCACTTTCTTTTGAGGAATAGACAGGGAATAAGAATCTAAGTCTAGCTGAGGGTCTTGGATATGCTTCTTTCCTCCCAGAGGATCACCTTGGCTCTGCCATCATTGTAACCCTGAGGCTGCATATCCCCATCTCTCCTTACTTTCTTTCCTTTTGAGTGAAAAAAGTTACCATTTATTGAGGCCCAGAGTGGTATAGGAACTTGCTAAAGCCCTCATAGCTAGTTGTAGGGAGCTGGTAATCAAACTCAGCTCTGCCTGATCCCCAAGGCCCACTGATTTTTTTTTTTTTTAATTTAACAGATATCATGTCCATTTTTTAACATCTTTATTGAGATTTAATTCTCATACCACAAAATTCGAGTATACAATTCAGTGAATTTTAATATATTCACGGATTTGTGAAACCTTCCTCACAATCTAAGTTTAAAATATTTTTTTTCACTCCCCCAAAAAACTCTATACCCAATAGTTACCAAGCTCTGGGAAGCAACTAATTTACTTTCTGTCTCTATAGATTTGCCTATTCTAGACTTTCATGTAAATAAATCATGTAAAATGTGGCCTTTAGCTTTCTTCACTTAGCAAAATGTTTTATGATTCATCCATGTCGTAGCTATGTCAGTACTTCATTCTTTTTTATTGCCAAATAATGTCCCATTTTGGGGATATACCTTATTTTATTTATCCATTCATCAGTTGATGGACATTTGAATGGCTTCCACTTTTTGACTATTATGAATAATGCTGCTCTGAACATTTGTGTACAAGTTTTTGTGTGGAAGTATGTTTTCATTTCTCTTGGATATATACCTAAGAGTGGAATTATTGGGTCATATGATAACTGTATGTTTAACATTTTGAAGAACTGCTATACTATTTTCCAGAGTGACTGCACCATTTTACATTCCAACCAGCAATCTATGAGAACTCCAATTTTTCCACATCCTCACCAACACTTGTTATTATCTATCTTTCTTATTTTATCCATCCTAGTTGTATGAAGTGGTATTTAATTGGAATTTTAATTAGAATTGCCTTAATGACTAATGATGTTCAACATATTTTCATGTGCTTATTGGCCATTTGTATGTCTTCTTTGGAAAAATGTCTGTTCAAATCCTTTGCCCATTTTTAAGATCGGGTTAATGGTCTTTTTATTATTGTGTTGTAAGATTTATTTACATAATCTGGACACCAATCCCTTATCAGATAAAATGATTTGCAAATATTTTCTTCTATCCTGTGGATTGTCTTTTCATTTAATTGATGGTACAATTTGAAGCACGAAAGTTTTTGGCGTAGTTCAATTTTTCTGTTTTTTGTTTTGTTACTTGTGCTTTTGTATCATATCTAAGAAACCATTGCCTAACCCAGTGTGATAGAGATATACTCATAGGTTTCCTTCTAAGAATTTTATAGCGTTAGTTCTCACATTTAGGTCTATTAGTTAATTTTTGTGTATGATGTAAGTAAAAGTCAAATTCATTTTTTTGCATGAGCATATTCAGTTGTGCTGGCACCATTTGTTGAAAAGACTATTTTTCCCATTGAATTATCTTGAGACCGTTATGAAAATCAATTGACCATAAATGTAAGAGTTTGTTTCTAGACACTCAATTCTATTCCGTTAATTTATATCTCTATCTTCATGCCAATACCACGTTGTCTTGATTACCGCACCCACCTGTGTAGTAAGTTTTGAAATTGGGAATGTGAAATTGGGAATGTGCTTCTTTTTCAAAATTGTTTTGACAGTTCTTGGTGTCTTGCATTTCTGTATAAATTTCCTGATCCGCTTGTCAATTTCTGTAAAAAAAGCAAGCTGGGATTTTGATAGGGATTGAGTTAAATTTGTAGATTGATTCAGAAAGTATTGGGCCGGCCCCGTGGCTTAGCGGTTAAGTGCGTGCGCTCCACTACTGGCGGCCCGGGTTCGGATCCGGGCACGCACCGACCCACCGCTTCTCCGGCCATGCTGAGGCTGTGTCCCACATACAGCAACTAGAAAGATGTGCAGCTATGACGTACAACTATCTACTGGGGCTTTGGGGAAAAAAAGGAGGAGGATTGGCAATAGATGTTAGCTCAGAGCCGGTCTTCCTCAGCAAAAAGAGGAGGATTGGCATGGATGTTAGCTCAGGGCTGATCTTCCTCACACACACACAAAAAAAAGTATTGCCATCTTAACAATATTAAATCTTCTGATCTGTGAACATAATATATCTTTCTATTTATTTAGATCTTCTTTAATTTCTTTCAACAATGTTTTATATTTTTAGTGTGCAGGTCTTGAATATCTTTTTTTAAATTTGTTTATAATTATTTTATTCTTTTTGACACTATTGCAAGTGTAATTCTTTTCTTAATTTCAATTTTGGATTGTTCATTGCTAGTAGATAGACATACAATTGATTTTTGTATATTGATTTTGTATCCCACAACTTTGCTGAACTAATTTATTAATTCTAATAGTTTTTAGTGGATTCCTTAAGATTTTCTATTTACAAGATCATGCCATTTGTGACTAGAGATAGTTTTACTTCTTCCTTTCTTGATCTGGATGCATTTTATTTCTCTCTCTCTTTTTTTTTTTGTCTAATTGCTCTGACTAGAGTCTCTTGTACAATATTGAATAGAAGTGATGAGAACAGACTTCCTTGTATTGTTCTTTATCTTAGGAGAAAAAAATTAGCCTTACACCATTAAGCATGTTGCCAACTGTGGCCCATTGCTTTTTAACTCTGTCTTTAAAGCTTCCTGGAGAACAATTCACCACATCAACATGATGCTGATCTGAAATGAAATGTTCTCTACTGTAATGAGGTGATAACTACATGTGCACATTGGGGAGGGGCAATGGCCCCAAAGTTTGGCAGGTTCATGGTGCTTTCATCAGGTAGCTGAGCCCTTCTCTGGATCTCTTCTGCTTCAGCTGTCAATGGGAAGATTGGATTACAGCCTCTGCGGTTCTGAGAGTCTGTGATTTTCTTTGCCGATGTGAGAGATGATGT